TTGTCCAGTCTTCACTTCGCTAGTGGACATGACATTACAGCCACCTAAAACAGGGTGACCAGATTTTCAAAATTCAAAACCCGGACACTCCAATTTCGCTGAGAATCGAATACACATTAAATTCTCATCAGGAACTAAACATAAATGTAATCACAAGTTGGGTCTGACTGGCAATTGCGGCATTCGGCCATGAGAACCTCCATTTCAAATGTTTCTCGTTCGGGTAGGGCGAAAACATGCCTCCTAGCTATTAGATTCGGATTGAGAACGAGAACGCAAATGTGAATGTTATAGTCAATAGGAAGGAATTTAACAGTAAAATTCCTTTTTAATTGCTTCATTGTGTGAATCATCATGAAAAACTGTTTGACTGATGTCCTGATGGCGCAAACATTTGATTTTATTTTATTCATCTCAAACAGGCATGAAAATAAAAACAGCACAACAGAGGAACAAAGAGGGAAACTGGTTGACTTGCTGACTGGAATAAAAAAATAAATGAATAAACGGGAGGAGGTCTGCGTTAAAGTGAGACAAAATAATGGCGCTGGCGATATCTGCGGACACTCAGGACCCAAGGCTCAAACCTGAGACTGTCTCGATTAAACCGGGAGGTCTGGTCACCCTAACCTAAAGGGAAAAAGTGTTTATCCTTTATGCCCAATACTCATTTTTCTCATTTCAGAATCATATTTGGTCATCATGTACACTGGGTGGATGATTGCATTCATCGTGCAAGGAACTTAAACATTAAATTACAAACCATGCGATTTTTGTCGGTTGAATGGACAAGGATGTGAGACTTCATAGACTCTTAACCATCAATCAAGTAGATTTGTTGTAGAAGTAGAAAACGCTGTAGAGCTTTTATAAACTATGCATGGTGTATGAGTACCCATTCTTGTTCAGCCTGTTCACATGAAAATTCAGTAGCATCATCCACTCAGTCATACATTGCAATCAGTCCATAACAGACATAATTCTACTGTTTTTTTTTCTCGAAACAGCTGGATTCTTTATTCTAAAAAGCAATGATTATTCATATTAATATGTCCTTTTGTGGCAGCTATGGTTGTTGAGTAGAGAGCAGACGCCCACCAAAACCCACAAGATTTCAGGGTAATTCATCCACCCGTCCATTGTCTGAACCACTTATCCTCACGAGGATCGCGGGTGTGCTGGAGATGAATTAGGGCAGGAGGCCGGGGGGGACACACCTTGAAATGGTTAACAGACAATCCCAGGGCACACATAGACAAACAACAACCGCTCACGCTCAGATCTCGGAACAATTTAGAGTGTTGCATTAACCTACCATGCATATTTTTGGAATACGGGAGAAAACTGGAGTACCCGGAGAAAACCCACACAGGCACGGGGAGAACATGCAAACTCCGCACAGGAAGCAGGAAAGACAGAGCCCAGAATCAAACCCACTGTGCCACCCTGTAAGGGTAATCATGTTAAGATAGTATATAGTTAGTTTTTTTTTTCAGATTCCTGCTGAAACTGCAAACAAAAAACAAACTGCAAATTATTTTAATCCTACCACTTTAGTGGAGGCAAGCATAGTGTTTGCCGCACACTATGTTTGTCGAGTGTTTAGACAGAAAAAGTTTTCTGGAGTGTTTTGTTCCACATGTGGCAAATCAGTGCTGGGAAACAGTCTGATGAAAAGCACGTATGGCCACGTTTGTGTATTTTATTTTTATTTCATTACAGTGGTACCTCTACTTACGAAATTAATTGGAGAGAGATCGCCCAACTGGTGAATATTTTTTCTGGGTGATTCATATTTACGTAAAGCGATCGGAACACCTCATGGTCCCAGGGGCGAATGACGAGGATGCTGCATCAACACCTATGTATCTATCTGCACACATAGACACATATGGTAGAGGTCCCTCTTAGCCAATGGGATGCCAGGATGATGCTCGGTAGTAGCCAATGGCAGCGTAGCTATAAGTATGTTGCGTTCAGGAATCTCTGAGCTGCAAGGAGCAGGCCATACCGTATTTTTACCTTTCGTATCTTGAAATTTCTTTCGTCACAAGAGGCAATATTTTCCTGTTGAGGCGTTTCGTAACTTGAAAATTTCGTATGTAGAGATGTTTGTAAGTAGAGGTACCACTGTATATGATTCTGTTTTATAATATGATTTTGTTTAGTGAAAAAAAAACCCTGTAACCCTGGACGGGAGAAGCGGGAGAACGTCGACGGATGTATGGATGCTTTGAAACTGATATCTTTCTTCCTCCGGGATAAATCCACCTGATCCGTTTTGTTCACATTCTTTACACATTCCCAAAGATCACCTGTCAATCAGAGTTCGTCAGAGCCAGCATATTTCGTGTTGATTGTTGATAAAGTTTTAGGGGCCTTTGTTGTTAGCAGTGGTGTTGCTGTTTAGTATCTTGTCTGTTTGTGGATCCGGAAAGGAAACACAATCATCAAATACATGATCTCCCCCAGGAAAGAACTACATAAGTACGCAGTTTGGATATTCAGACCGTTGCATGCACCTGATACGGTGCCTTCTCTTTGACCGCGTCTGCACCTTCAATGTCAGTCTTTCTTCACTCAGCTCAGCTCGAGGCTACAGTCGGGATTCAGAGCAAAACACTGCAGAAGAAATTTGGCTGGGAACCGTCAGCCTTTCTCTCCAGGTGGTGGGTCAGCTGTCAGAAGAAAATCGTCTTTTTTTTTTTTCTCCTTAGCCTTTCATCATTTCATATGATGATTGTTGTATCCCTCTTTGGCTTCGTCGTTCATCCACCTCGGAAAGTTGTTTGTGCGCTGATCCCATATAAAGTTGCATTTGAAGCACACTAAACATATCAACATGGGCTGTAAATGGTGTTTGTTTCTTTAGCTTTGACGAAGTTATGACATATTTTCACATTGGGGAAACAGTTTTAATTAAACTGATACAACTGGACCCTGATTGTTTTATTATGGTACACTGCATACCAGTGACAGGTGGTGCATTTCGTGCAGGGCCTTTCGGTAAAGTAATTCACCTCTTAAAACCACCGCCATCATGTCGCAATCACTATGTGTGACATTACTGAGAAAGAGAGAGAGAGAGAGAGAGAGAGAGAGAGAGAGAGAGAGAGAGAGAGAGAGACATTTTGCGTATTTGACAATATAGACCAGTATGACTAAGCAGGAAGCACAGCTAAACCTTTATCTTCCAGTACATCACCTCCAAATAAGTCCAAATCTTGACATTACCAGAATGCAGCTCACAATCAATAAGCAATTCCATCAATGTTCATGACTTTGGCACTCTGCTTGCATCACTACTGTTGTTACATATATTAAGACGTTTCTTGACTCCTAAACTCTCTTTATGTTTTGTTCGTCTCTCATTCAAACGTGGCAAATTTTCACCAGGAACTAAATACACGGAATTTAATCGCTAGTCAATGACCAGTGACTAGCGGTTGTGTTATTACTTTAGCTAATGCTAAATGCTAACTTGGTTGACAGTTCAATGGCGCTAAATGAGTCAATGCATTCACCACTATCTGCCATATTTTGAGTTCACACGTCTCTCTCTCTCACACAGACACACACACACACACACACACACACACACACACACATGCGCGCGCATACACAAAACTTTTTCCTAGAGACAAAAGAGAGTGAGCTCAGGTAGCGGTCAATCATTCTCCCACTGAGAAGAGTGGACATGTCTAAACACACACACACACACACACACACACACACACACACACACACACACACACAAAAACTATCACTCTCAGGAAAGAATAAGTTGCCTTGAGGGAGAAGGTAGACTGTTTGCACACAGATGGCCTGTGTTTGTGAGCGCGTGCGATGTGTATCAAACTGTCGATCTACTTTAGCAAAACCCAGCGGCCGGTCCAAGTGCACATGCCGGACTGCTTGAAGTCTCGGCCTGAGGGCCACTGATAAGAAGTGGCTATCTGTGTGCAAGTAGGTGTTCATGTAACATGTTTCATGTTTTGGCTTTGTAGACTCTTGTGAGTGGGAATTGGTCCCAGTGAGTGATGATCAGGTCAGGCACCTTTGAGAGTGTATTTATTTTTTGCAAAGACGCATCGCCAGCTGGCTGGCAAGAGGCCCTCAAAGTGAGTGTGTCGTGCCACCAGCTGGAGCTGCCACTACACGGGTCAATTAGTTTCTAACTTGGTGTTTTATGTTCACACTACATTGAAGCACAAGCGCATGCACATGTTGTAGTCTGCCTGTTTGGTTTATGTTCGCAGCAGTGTGTCATTTTTATATCTGGTCATGAAGCTAAGGACAAAGTTGGGAGTGTGGCATTGTTGTTTTCACAGTTGTCATTGCTTCATGTTTGAATCCCTTATTACCTCTGCCCAAGAGATTCTCGTCACTGCTGGTTTGTTTATTGTCGAGATGCAACGATGAATCAACAACCAGTTGGTTATCAAATTAACCAATGATTCTTTTTGAAAAACAATTAATGATTTTGAGTCATAGAATTGTCCAAATCCTCAAAATTTCAGCCTCTCGGCAGTTTTTTTTTCAGATTTTTTTTTATTCCTCTATAAAAGCAGACTGATCATTGTGTCGCATCAAAAAAAAAGACAGAGTTATAGTTAATATCTCTCTTTACTTGGGAAAACAGTGATCAACATGTTTGCTTATTTTCTGACATACTGTGCACCACACCAGTAAACGAATCATAAAACGATGACAGTGTTGTGGTTTTAGAGTACATTTTGCTGAACAATGTAACAACTAACCTCACACGCAAAATATCCTGAACAGGCTCCAATGTTTTAAATAACATCACAACTGTGCCAACATTAATGTGTTAGACTAATTGTTTTTGACACACTAGGAATGTGAAGATATCCTTTTTATAGTATTTTATTGCAATAGGTGATTATAGGACACAGTTATGTTTTACAAAGACCTTATCACTCATTATATGAATTTGTACCAAATCATTCCTAAGACCGACCAAACTGTCTCCTATTCAGGCTGCCGAGGGAAGTTGTGTGGCTTTGGCGCCGTGTGTGAGCGAGACCCGAACGACCCTGCCAACGCAGAGTGCGTCTGCAAGAGAGGCGAATGTCCGTCCTTGGTGGCGCCCGTGTGTGGTTCCGATTCGTCCACCTACAGCAACGAGTGCGAGCTGGAGAAAGCCCAGTGCCAGACCCAGCGACGCATCAAGGTGCTGCGTAAGGGGCCGTGCTGTAAGTACCACCGCCGGGCCAACAATCGACAAACCAAAACTTTGCATTTAACAGAAGTAATTTTGTGGTTACCGTATTTTCCGGATTATAAATCGCACCAGCCATAAAATGTATAATATCAAGGAAAAAAAAAAACATATGTCGCACTGGAGTATAAGTCATATTTTTTAGGGACATTTATTTGACAAAATCAAACACCAAGAACAGACATGGCATCTTGAAAGGGTATTTAAAATAAAAATAAAATAGAGAACAACAGGCTGAATGAGTGTACGATATGCTAAAAATACTGTACATGACGCATAAACAATGAACTGAGAACGTGCCTGGTATGTTCACATAACATAAGAGTTATTCAGATAGCTATAGCATGAAGAACATGCTCACAAGTTTACCAAACCATCACTCCAAACCACTAAATCCAATGAAATCTTGTCAGTTTTAAACAACTCCGCCAACTCCGGAGGCAGAAGATGTGGCACTTCCTCTTCTACGTCGCTTACGTCATCATTGATTTATCAGCACAGGCCTAGAGCGCCCTCTTGTGGTTTAATGTGAAAATAACATGTAAAATAATCATAATATGTCAAGAATTTCACATATAAATCACTCCAGAGTATAAATCACAGCCTTGCCCAAACTATGAAAAAAAACGCAAAAAAACTACAATTTATAATCCGGAAAATACGGTACTACAGTAATATTTGTGCGGACACTGAGGCAACATGGGACGTCCACCAATATTTTACATTAGTTCATGCACGTTTGCAATGGCAACAACAGAATCGCTCTTCTTCTAATTACAAGCTACAGTATGTACTGTACTTATTTTGACTGCGTATGAACAATCACAGGCTACAAAAGTAGGTACACTGAAACTCTAATACCGTAACATAATCGTGTACAAGAACCAGGGGCGTGCTGACCATCGTGCATTTGGGGAAAATGGTACGATTGCCAAAATACTGGTTGACAGTTGCGAAATTCATTTCGCATAACTGAAAGACTAATTCTGTTGGATCACAAACATCAAGCAACGTCTGATTTCTATTCGGCCCTTTTTTTTTTCAAATTTATATTTCATTGTATATTATTCCAGTTGCTGTTTTTTTATTGTTTCTTTAACAGAAAGCTTTTTGTCCACATCATGCGTATGTGGCCTGTACATGGGAAGTCAAATTAAATAGCATCTAATTTCAGGCAGTAAAATAATAATATTGTGAAAATTATGGATTTAGATCTGGCACTTTTGATGGTGGAGAACATATCGTGATTTCCTCCACACCACAGGTCTCTGAGTGGCGCTTAATTGCTTGTTATTGTCACCTTAATGAATCCCCGTTGCGATCTGTCCGAACAGCACAGCTTTGCAGTTCTGTCTTTCTCCCAACAAAGCAAACTTTTCAATCTTTTCCAGTCTCCTTTTCATATATTTCGCCACTATGTAGACAAAACCAAAGCTGAGACACCACATGTACCCTCAACACACCGAGACTACCGTTGCAATGTTCTGTCGGCCTCACGTGGTCCAACCAGTGTGGTTCCAGCGCTTATTCCAAGGGTAGGATTACATTGCAGGTTGGCTTCTGCTACTAATAACAAGCTCGGTGAGTGGTCACCGCAGGCGAAGAGGAAGCGAAGGAGATAAAAAGGGGCAAAGAATGGGCGGGCCGAAGCGGCAGGGCCACGGAAGAGGGAGGTTAGAAATAACATTGAAACGGGCGTAAACTGAAACATTCGCCGTAGATGGAGATGAAAGAGCCGACCGATGATTGAGGAACCACCGAGTAAAACAAAATAAAAATAAAAAAGACTTGAAAGCCAAATCTGCATGTGTCCCCTGTGCAGCAGGAGCAGAACAATTACCGCAGGCAACAAACAGCATGTGGTCACTGCGAAAACAGTATAAATAAGCACATCAATTCTCATGATGATAATGATGATGGTTGTCTTGCTGAATTTCACTTAGGGATTAAAATGCTTGTTTTGAAAAGGTCACAATTAGAGCGGAGGGAAAACAGACAGCCCTTATTGCCTCAAAGGCCCCCCTGACAGAACTCAGGTGGGGTTTTGAAGACATTTCATGGTGAACGTGAATAGATACTTCACTTACGTTACCTTTTCATTTCAACTGATGTGCACTGGTTACACTGAACACATGGCTGTGAACAGAGAGTAGCTACATTACAAATGCAGTCAATGTTGCCAAATTAGCAATTTGGTTTGATTACATTTAATGATTTTTCTAAATGCTCCAGTGACTTTAAAAAAAGTGTCTAGTGACATTAATTTTATCTAAGAAACAGGCAACCCCATGAGCAGAATCATTTTCACATTCCTTTCTGTATGACAGGATAAAGGCCCAGTCGAAGGCAATCATGAAATCAATCGTGCTGAAAATTTGCAAATTGCAAAAGCAGGTTTTTTCTTTCCCAACATGTTGAACAACTTTGACCCGAGGTATGTGCTAACAAGTCATACATATTTGCTTCACCTGTACGACTCTATCCCGGAAAAAGATATGCCTGGAAAAAACAAAGAAAAGTCATTTCTCCACGAAAAGGAGGGGAAAAAATCATTTGAAAGTCAGCAATGTGACTTTTGTAATAAATTAATAAATAAATAAACAATATCTGAGATTTTATTTTATTTTGGCCAATTTGCATCTCAATTCGAGTTAGCTATTGTTAGCTATTGTTTGTCATTGAAATTAATTGACATTCTATTAAGCTAACCTGCTTCAGGCCCTAAATATGGCAACTACTTTTTGTATTATTTGTTTTTCACAAACAATTATAGCACTGTATTGTGTAAAAGAATATTAAAAAAGAATACAGGAGAATTTAAACAAATCAACTAGTCTTCAAAAGCAAAATTTAGCCGCCAGCAAGTGTTTCATTTTTGTATTTCCTTTTTTTTGTCATTCAAAAGAAATGTAAATTGCACCAGCGACTGCTGTGAGTCTTTTTTTTCCGCAGTTCACTCGAGCAGTGTTGTATCTGAAGCTTTTTTGACTATCTTGTGACACAAAGCAAAGCAAAAAAAAAAAAAGATCAAGTGACAGATCGTGACATGAAAAACTAAGTCAGGGCACTCAAAATTCAAGTCTATATTTGTGTACATACTAGTTAACTAGCTCATCATAAATCCATCCATCCTTTTCCAAACTGTTTGTTGTATGCCACATTAAATCTGTTTTGCGAACGCAGACAATGCTGCATTGGACGCAGTCTATTTCCATGGCTTCTGAAAGGGAAATTGATTTCAATTCCGGGAAAAAAATGACCTACAAAAATGATCTGTGTTTGACTTCAGTAGGTCTCCTTAATTTGCTGACCAGTTGGCATCAATCTGATTTCCCTTGAATTCACCAATAGTCTCACTGCCGATGTCTGCGTATTTGAGTGAGAGAGTAAAAATAAGTGTTACTTGGAGGTCATGTGACGCCAAGCGCTTCTTAGCTCAAGACGGGTCACTCTGCTGGAGATTATAGCCTTTCGGGCCTCATCAGCAGCGTAGATCAGGATTATAGAATACGGAGCGTGCACAGGGTGAACAATCTGACGGACTGAGGTGTATTCCAAGTAACCTGTCAGTTGCATTACATTGTAAAATGTCCTCATCTGCCGGTTCGAAAGTGTTTGGCAGGTTTTCATGGAGGTAAATGAAGTGGCAAGATTTCTGACAAGCTGTCATGTCTGATTCAAATCAACTAGTCAGTCTTTTCTGCAGCGCAGTCACCAAAGAAAATGTGCATTTTTCCGCACATCGTCACATTTATGTTTAGAAGCAATACATATGTAAGGTGCCTTAAATACAACTTTTTGTGCTTCCAGGGTTTTTTTTTTTTTTGTGGACAAAACAGCAAAATTATTGTAATTATATTACAAGAGCAATGATTGATTTATTCATCAACTACTAATCGATGACCAAGTGAATTAATATCAATGTTGTGCTAATCGATTAATCTGCCTCTGAAGAGCAAATATTGTCAGATTTCTGTTGTGCTCCATCAAAGTAAGTGGATTCTCATGTTCATTAGAATAAAATTATTACATTTAAAAATAAAACATTTCGAAGCATCTGCTTTTGCTTTTTTGAGCATTTTTGGCAATTTTCTGACATGCCACGGTCCAAACCAGGAACTGAATCATAATTTGAGCATTCTCTGCCTTGTCAACTTGAAATCATTTCCTGTTTGTAACAAAAATTTGATGAAAGAAAATGCTCAATTTCCATAATTGAACATTTTTCATCAAATTAATCCAACAATCGACAAAATAATCAACAGAAAAATCGACTATGAAAATAATGATCATTAGCCCGAAATAATTTCGCCCGACCTTAATGTCCAAATGTAAACATAACCAAATGACAGCAAAATGTAGGCTTTGTGTGGCAGAGTCTCATGATTTTTGCACAGCACATCAACTAAATTTAAGAATTAGTTGGCAAACCAGAAATCCGAGTACCCGGAGAAAACCCACGCAGGCACGGGTTGAACATGCACACTACACACAGGAAGCCCGGAGCTGGAATTGAACCCTGCACCTCAACACTGTGAGGCCGAAGTGCTAACCAGTCGACCACTGTGCTGACGAAGAATTTCATTTATTCATCTTGAAATGAAAATAATCGGCAAGTTATATAATGACTGAACTCTGAATAAAGTCAATTGAAGCAGTTGAAGAAGAAAGCATGACAAGTTTTGGGAGGAATTATAATATGCAACACCTCCATATTGTAGGCAGGCAATTCCGACTCCATCATTTTTTTTTCCCTTCTACTATCAGGTCAGCTGTTGACAACCGTTCCACTTATAAAAACCTCAGTCATGTGTCACCCTTTAGAAAGGCAGCTGAATATAACAACTCGTGTTTGGTTTTCTACCTCACTGTCATCACTGTGATGGCAACATAGCCGCTCTGACTGCACACTCCCCTTAAGCTGACAAGTGGGCAAATCATCACATTCACTGAGCATCTCACTCATCTCAGCAA